TCAAGAAAATAAAAGATATTATTTATCTATGTTCTTTATTAAAAAAAGGGTGGGTGTGGATGTGGGTGTGGGTATGATCTTTTGAATCAACCGACATTCGCCCATATCTGCATTCGCAAGAGAACATGCCCAAACCTAAAGAAGACAGAGACATGATGAAGACTTTTTCTGTCAATTTCATCTATTTTTTTTACATTTGTTAATAACAAATGCGCTTTTTTCCAAGTTTATTTTTGTTATTTATATAATGGTTACATGCAAGCTTTAGCCAATAGAATACAGCAAGAAAAATGATTAAAACTAGCTTAAACATTTTTTTTAAATTTCATGTCTACTAATTCGCGATGACGAATTATGTTATCAACTTGTATATTCAGTCAATATTTACCATTATAAATACTTTTCTCACTTGCAATTCTCTATAATAAACATAAGTCTAAACGTTTTTTCTCAATCAAAGAAAGTAAAACACCTATTGTTTGTGAACAATCTCGATGTTTGTCAAAGATATAGCAATATTGTAACGGAATTATGAAGAATAAATATAAATCATGAATAAATGTCCTTTATTGAATAATAACAGAACATAACAGCAAAATAATTATTATCGCTTCTTTATTGTGCTTATGATTCAGACTCTATTCCGTCTTCTAGTCTCAAGACACAATTCAGAATAAATCTATTTTATTACTTCTTATCTCAACCTTCTTCAAAGGTGTTCTTCCCTAGACTAACTATATCAAAGAAATAGAACAAGTAAAGGATGAATGTAGTAAAGCAAGGTAGGATTACACGAAAGAGTGTCTACCTATTTTCTTGGCACAAATATCTCATCCGTTTGCTTTTTTTCGTTCTTCAGTTGTTTTTTTTTCATAGCAATAAGATAATCAATTAAAGATAAAACATTTCGAAAAGAAAGTAGACACTTATAAAAAGAATCATTTTTGATCATTACTTCACTAGTAAACTTTACACAGTAATTCCAATTCAAATTATTCACGAAGTAAACGATGAGCAAAGAAAAATCAACAACAAATGCATCGGCAGTTTTAAAAGGTGCAGAAGATCGTCGACGTATCAATATCCAACAGATGCAAAATGTTCTTCTAATCTGGTTAGACAGTAATATTGACGAAACAAATGATGGTTGTCAAAATACAATCACAAAATTACGACAGGCTGTCAACAACACTAATACATTTACAGATGTTGATCAATGCTTTGAGTTCATTGAAACAGTCGTCGATAACAAAGTATGTATGATTATATCCGGATCACTTGGACAACATTTTGTACGTTTTGTGCACAATATGTCTCAAATTGATTCAATTTTTATTTTTTCTGACAACCAACAACATCATGAACAATGGGCTGAAGATTGGCCCAAAATAAAGGGTGTCTTCACAGATATTACACCCATCTGTGAAGCACTTAAGAAAACTGCTCATCAATGTGAGCAGAATGCCATTCCTATGAGTTTCGTGGAAACAAATAAAAAGTTGGATCAATTAGATCCTTCCTTTATGTACACTCAAATCATCAAAGAAATTATACTAACCATCACATTCAAACAAAACCATATTCAGGACTATCTTAATTACTGTCGTGATGCTTTTGGAGGTAATAAAAACAAGATCGAAAACGTTGAACGATTAGAAGGTGAATACCACAACAAAACACCTATTTATTGGTACAGCTGTGACATGTTCTTGTATCCCATGCTCAATCGTGCATTACGATTGATGGATGGTGATATCATTACACGTATGGGTTTCTTCATTGGTGATTTGCATCGACAGATTGAACAACTGCACAAGGAACAATATGCTGGCGCAACTGCTGCTGACACCTTCACCGTTTATCGTGGTCAAGGTTTGTCTACAGAGGATTTTGAAAAAATGAGCAAAATAAACGGTGGTCTTATTTCATTCAATAATTTCTTATCTACCAGTAAAGATCGTGAACTTTCCTATGCTTTTGCTGAAAGTAATCAGACCAATCCGCATTTATTTGGAATACTTTTCGTTATGAAAGTAGATCCATCTCAATCAGCAACACCATTTGCTTCCATTACTGGTATCAGTAACTTCGAAGAAGAAGAAGAAGTCTTGTTTTCGATGCATAGCGTGTTTCGTATGCAGGATATTAAACAGATGGTCGGAAATAATCGTTTATATGAAGTTAATTTGACACTGACTGCTGACAACGATCCAGAGTTGCAGAGACTTACTGATTACATTCGAAAAGAGAGTTTTCCAGACAATGAGGGATGGTACAGATTGGGTTTGGTACTATGGAAAATGGGTCAATTTGATAAAGCTGAAGATATTTATCATGTTTTACTTGATCAAACAAAGGATGATAAAAGCAAGGCACCTCTTTATGCTCATCTTGGTTTAATCAAACATAGTCAAGGAAAATATCAGGAAGCACTTACATTTTATGAAAAATCACTTGCTATCTATCAAAAAACTCTTTCTTCCAATGATCTCCAGTTGGCTATGTACTACAACAATATTGGTAATGTGCATGACAACATGGGTAATTATCCTAAGGCACTTTCATCTCATGAAAAAGCCCTTGTAGTTCAACAACAATCACTTCCTCCCAATCATCCTGATTTGGCTTCTTCTTACAACAACATTGGTAATGTGCATGGCCACATAGGTAATTATCCTAAGGCACTTTCATCTCATGAAAAAGCCCTTGAAGTTCAACAACAATCACTTCCTCCCAATCATCCTGATTTGGCTGCTTCCTACAATAATATTGGTTCAGTGCATGACAGCATGGGTAATTATTCGACGGCACTTTCATCCTATGAAAGAGCCCTTGAAATTCGACAACAATCACTTCCTCCCAATCATCCTGATTTGGCTCAGTCCTACAACAACATTGGTAATGTGCATGGCCGCATGGGTAATTATGCTAAGGCACTTTC